CCCACAAGTAATATAGGTAAGACTGGAAGTCCAGTTTTAGCTTTTAAGACTCTTACCTTCTCTCTCAGTCTTGCTCTCTGCCTCTGGGAGCTGATGGGAATGTATGCAAATATAAAATAGTCTGGTTTTAGAAAAAATTGATCTATCATCAGTCACTAAATTTGAGAAGCTTTTTTATCAAGAACATCTATTTCATGTAGATTTATTTAAAACTACAGACTAAAACAAGGAAAATTTACTATAGTCTGCTGTAACTAAATGTGATTCTCCTGCGCTGAGAAGAATGCAAGTTTGCTTGAAAAACAGCAGCATGTCCTAGGGTGTCTGAGGTACCCACACAGGAGTTGTGAGATGATGCTTTTCTTCCTGGAGTGGCTCTGGATTCCAGAGCTGTTTGCCATTAGAGGCTGGACACTAATGTGAATCACATTTCTAAGCTTTAGATGGTGAGTACACTTTCCCTCCCAGTCAGAGAAGAGAGCACAATTAGTGGAAAGTTGTTTTTGGTTGGAGAAGAGAAGCGTTTTGGTTGGGGAGAAGGCAAGGGTGTCGGTTCTGTTTTCATAATCTGGAAGGAATTTTGCAGTTTGCAATGGCTGACAGGGTTTGGTCCTAACAGGGTCCACAGTGTTTTGCTTAGCAGAAGGAGACCTACAAGGAGCAGGAAGAATTCTACATAAGAAACAGTGAAAAATCAGGGGTAAAAGAAATATTGAAGCAGCATTAGACATAATTGTTTGTGTTTTACTCTTGGTTTTTCTTCTTCTGCAGGCAAAGACAAATGGCACAAGGGAAAAATATCTCATCTGAGGTTCAGATGTCTGCTGTGAAGATCCAAGACTCTAGAAACTAAATCCCTAGTGGTTTTATGCACACCTATTAAAGTATATATAAGCAACATGCTAAGGAGAATCCCCTAAGAACCAGTGAGATGAAAGGCCAGTGATGTATTGATTACCAAGAGACTACTGAAAAATTAGTTGAGTAGAAAACATGTTCAATTATTTTGACTGTGTTCAAGAAATCT